TATGACACCAGCCACTTTATAATTTGTGCTAATAGCTTCATTTGCTTGCATGCACAAGGCTGGCTGACTGGCCATCTAGCAACATATGATAACAAGGCAGGCTAAGCTGGTTCCACCCACATTACATTCCTTCTCAAGGTGCCCAGCAAGCAAAACCACAGCTTCCATCTACCCTGTTTGCAGGATCAGGGCCTCATCAAATAGGTGACTCATGCTTCCTGGCATCTTTGGCCATTTCTGCATGTTTCACTCAACCAGTTTCTCTTTCTGTCACCTCTTCTCCATCAGTCTTCAATCTGGAGAGCATGGAATCATTGCAGACTGACATCCAAGGCCAGGCACTATGGAGCCAAAAAGACAGGGTCTCCTTCTTGGTAATATTTCTCACTCGCTTGCACAGTTTTACTCACTCTCCTGCCATTTGAAATATAGCTATTTCCAATGGCTCTGATTTTTCTCTAGGGAGCATTGTCCAACTTGCCCCTTAGCCCAGTATCCTATTTCAAATGTTACTTATTTTAGAATAAATGTGCAATACTTTTGTCTTTGTAAAAAAAGTTATAATCCCAAAGCAGTTCACAAAGCAATCAGTTTTAGGTGAAATATATACACAAAAGATGGAGGACACCAGTGGCTCCCACAGGTTACTGTTAGGGAATATTGAGGAAAGGAAATGATCACCCCCTGCCTATCTTGCCTAAAATCAGTAAACATTTCTGTCCTCGGAGTATTTCCTTTCTTTCTTACTTCTGGGGCCCTTGTTTTGTTACTGTGTTATTAATCTGTGGGAGCAAACTTGTTATACCTGATGCAAAATAGTATAGAGAACAGTAGGCCACCAAAGGTCCAAGTGATTGCTTGGGGAATGTTGGGTAAAGTATCCTGTTCCATCTTTGATCCCACAGGAAGTGATTTTAAACAAACCTGGTGTGCAGACATTTGCTCTAAGACAGTGGGAAAGGCAAGCTCTTAATCCAACTTTTCCAGTGTTACAGGATGTTTGTAGGAGCCTGGAAGCATAACTATACAAAAACCTCTCTCTCTCTCCCCCGTCCCCCTCACACACACACACACACACACACACACACACAGGAATTCATCTAGCACAAGCTACCGTATTTTTCGCTCTGTAAGACGCACCTGACCATAAGATGCACCTAGTTTTTAGATGAGGGATCCATGGAAAGCTTCCTGATAATCACAGGCACATTCCCCATCACTTCCCCATGGGCTTCATTAAAAGACGGGTTGCCATTTGAAAACACACACCGACCTGTGATTAACAGCTCTCACCTGTGCCGGAGGAGGGGGGCGGAGCGCCGGCCAGGTGTGGTGCAGCCAGGCCGGCAGTGTGCCGGCGGTGGTCTTCCGGGTGGCACGGCAGCAGCGGCGGCGGCAGCAGGTCTTCCCAAGCGGTGGGGGTGAGCAGTCCGTCTCTCTGTGCGGCCGGCAGGTTAAAGCCTGCGGCTCCTCCTCCTCCGCACCTCTCCCCCTGAGCGGCACAGCTCTCACCTGCTCTGGAGGGGGGGGGAGGCGGAGCAGGGCGCGCCAAGTGCGTGCCGGCCAGGTGGTGCCACGTGGTGCAGCCGGGCCGGCAGCATGCCGGTGGTGGTCTTCCGGGTGGCGCGGCGGCAGCAGCAGTGGCGGCAGGTCTTCCTGGGCGGTGGGGGTGAGCAGTCCGTCTCTCCGTGTGGCCGGCGGGTTAAAGCCCGCGGCTCCTCCTTCGCAGCAGCAGGTCTTCCCGGGAGGCTCCTCCTCCCCTTACTTTTGAGGGGGGGAAAGTGCGTCTTATAGAGCGAAAAATATGGTAATTAATCAGGTATTCAGTTTAGCCCACACATCTCTCTCATTTGTAAACAAAGGCATTTCTGAACAAACCCCTTGACAAATCCCAAAAATCAATTTGCAAAGCATCTAGACCCATTATCCTCTATCAAGGAACCGTCAAGATCTTCCTGTATTTATCCAGTTAACTAAGCATCTTTTAAAACCCAAGCAGAAGGGGAAATGTTTCAAACAACACAGTTTATCACCATTCAGATATGAAGTCAGTAGTGCACACATACATGCCTTTACATAGGAGCCTAACTTGCTTGCTTGGAACCAAATTAATGTGCTATGGGTTATCCAAATCCAAAATCATGTCTACACTGGATCAAGTGAGTCACACCGAGCTCAAATGCTTTCAACATGGAGAAATATTCAGGTTTTCATGGACAGCAGCATGTGCAGAATCGAGCTCCTTCTCCTACAGTGGGCAAAAACCATCCTTGCTGGGAGACGATCCACACTCATGCTTGGGCACACTGTAGTGCAGACAAGCATGGAACACCTCCCTCCCTCCCTCCCTCCCTCCCTCCGCTCAGCCTTCTCTCTGCCCAGCCAGCTGCCCAAGATTCTCCTCAAAACAGTAGGTGAGCTCAAAGTTGGGATTCAGAACCCTTTGTGAGCCTGCCAAGTTGCAGGGGCAGCAAGATGGGAGCCCTCCCCTGGTGGCATAATGGCTGGAGTGCTCAACGAGGACTGTGCAGACCTGGCTTAAGAGCCTCCAAAGAATAGTCTCTAGTTACTTATAAAGCAAAGAAAAACTTACCTTCTGGACAGGCTGGCTGACTTAGGAGTAGGAGGCCCTGCGTGGCAGTGGTTCCACTCCTATCTGGCCAGCCGATTCCGGATGGTGGTGCTGGGGAACTACAGTTCTGCGCCATGGCAGCTTTGCCATGGAGTTCCACAGGCTCTGTTTTGTCCCCCATGCTATTTAACATCTACATGAAACCGCTGGGAGAGGTCATCAGGAGGTTTGGGCTGTGGAGTCATCAGTATGCTGATGACACCCAGCTCTTCCTCTCATTTACATGTGCTCCTGGTGAGGCGGTGGCTGTACTGAACCAGTGCCTGGCTGAGGTAATGGGCTGGATGAGGGCCAATAAACTGAACCTCACTCCAGATAAGATGGGAATCCTGTTGGTGGGCAGTGCGGGTCTCCAGGTAGGTGATTTTGAATCAATTCTGGACGGGGTAGCACTCCCTCTAAAGTACAGGGTACGCAACTTGGGAGTACTCCTTGACCCAGAGCTGTCACTGGAGTTCCAGGTGGCAGCGGTGGCAAGGAGTGCTTTCCTACAGCTTCAACTGATCCATCAGCTGCGTCCTTACCTGGATGAGCACTCCCTAGCAACAGTGATACATGCTCTGGTAACTTCCCACTTGGGTTACTGCAACACGCTCTACATGGGACTGCACTTGAAAATGGTCCGGATACTGCAACTGGTGCAGAATAGAGCTGCCAGGCTGCTGATGGGGACCAGCCGTTACTCTCACATAACGCCAGTCCTCTACCAGCTCCAGTGGCTTCCAGTTGGAGTCCAGGCCCAATTCAAGGTGCTGGTTTTGACCTATAAAACCCTAAACAGCTTGGGACCAGGATACCTGAAGGAATGTCTCCTTCCTTATATGTCCTCACGCCCCTTACTATCTATGGGAGAAGCCCTGCTCCGGGACCCTAAGAGAGGTAAAAAGGTCATCATCAACTTGGAGTAGGGCCTTTTCTGCTGTAGCGCCCAGACTCTGGAATGTACTTCCCAGAGAGGTACGCCTGGTGCCAAGTTTATACTCTTTTCGGCACCAGGCTAAAACCTTTTTATTTAAACAGTATTTTAACATCCAACAGCTTTTAACTTTTAGTCGCTCTGTTTGTTTTGTGATTTATTGTTTTGGTCTGTTCTATTATTTATTGAAATTTTTGTTTTAATTCTTTTAAATATTGTAAGCCATCCTGAGATCTTGTATAATAGGACGGCATACAAAAGCTTTTAATAAATAAATAAATGGGGTGACTTTGATCCCATCACTGCTTCAACCTGACCTACCTCACAGGATTGCTAGGATACATTGAGAGGAAGAATTATGTGAGCTACACTGGGTTCCTGGCAAAGGAAAAAAGGTGGACATCTAATAAACAGATGTTGTTGGACTCCAGCGGCATAGCCAATGGCAATGGATGGTGGGAGCCACAGCCTAACTGACGGAGGGCCGCAGGCTATCCACTCCAGCTCTAGAGCCACCTGCCTGACGCCAGTGCCCTCCAGGTGTGACGAACTACAACCCCAAGCATCCATAGCCAGCACATCAATGGCAGCTGCAGGTTAACACATTTGAAGGGGCCCAGGTTGGGGCAGACCTCTTCTAGCGTTCCTGCCAGAGCTCACTTTGTTTGGGGCAGCAAGTCTTGCCTGTGCTGGAAGTGCCACATCAAGTCTGCACAAGCCCAGCCCTTGAATTGGGTACAAAATATCTGTGGGAGGCATACAGAAAGACCTGCTTGCTGGGCTTGGGACCTGCCAGAGCTTAGTCACCCCTTGTTAATTTAAAGAGGAAGCCTCAGTACCAAAGAGAGGAGTGAAATTACCAGTAGATCCACTATGAGAGCTCAGCTGAGCCAAAGGGATGGGCCATGCCCAGAATGATAGGAGAATTTGTTGAGGAACCTGTCCTTTAGCCACCTGGCACCTTTCAAGAGAGAGAATCCAGAGGTCCACTCCTACTTCATTTGCAGCTGGGAACACCGCCCTGAATTTCTGCCTGCCACTCAAGTAAAGGGGGAAGGAATAGAAAAAGAAAGATGAACAGCTCTAGAATGCTGTCTTGGGTCAGAGCAACTGGAAGCGGGCATATCTAGAGATGTTTTTAGACCCACCCTTTGGAAACTAGGCTCTGCAAGATGGAATACTTACTAAAAACTGAACTTTAAAGTTATTTTGTTTCCTTCTGTGTTTCACTAAAGTCTCTTAACCTTTTTATTTTTGTAACGGTATTATCTTATATGTGTTTTAGAATGCATTATATATTGTTCTACTAATGTTTGTAAACTGCCTTAGGAGGGCAGAAAATGTTATTCATTCCTTAAATGAGTAACATTTTAAAATCCACCTTCCCCTCCATTTGCAGATATCATTTCCCTCTGTTGTCATCCCCCTTTTAGTCAGTTAGAAACAAATTACTTGCTTTATTATTTTATTTTATTGTTTATTTGTTTTACATTAGATCAACAATGTCTCTAGGTATGCATATACAGCAAACTAACATTTTGCTGATGGGAGATACCCAATGGGCCCAAGCAAAAAAATGTTAATTAACAATATATACAGAAAGGTGCAGTGCACATACCAGAGCTGAGGTCATTTACTAAAAAGACCCAAGCAATTAAAAAACAAGACACATTTACAGCATTTCAAAAAAGAATTACAACTTGTTTGCATAAGCTACATTTTGAGAGAGTCCTTTTCTTTTCAGAAAGAAAGATTCAAGTATAATAGAAATGGACAAAAATGCCCTTTACAAAATAAACTCAAAAGCTGCCAATATAAAAATGCAGCTGCAGCAGTACCTGGCTTAGTCATAATCCTTTAGAGTAGACACTAAAACCACAGATATTCATAAGAAATTCACAATCACCCCACATTGCCACAGGAGGCTGGAATGGGGCCCTAACTTCCCTCAGGTTTTTTTTTTTTTTTTGGGGGGGGGGGTCAGGTCCAAAAGCATAGCTTTAAGGCTGAAAAAGAGCACTTCAGTCTGGCATGTTGACTAAGAAATACTGGGAGCTGTAGTACTTGTGTCGGCCTGAACATGCATGGGATTGCGCCTGTTTGATGCAACTGGTGATTTAAAGCATCTTCCCATGATCTGGTGCCTTCCAGATGTGATGGACTACAATTTCCATAATCTCCAATCTTGATGGGAATTATAAAATTGCAGTGACAGATTTTCAAAAGTATCCATTCATCACCAAAATCATTAGCCTTATAGAACAGAAGAGTGTGCTGGTCCAGAAAGATCCTTGCCAGCTGTTTACAAGAACAGAACCACAAGTTTCAGTTGTCTTAGAAAAACAACAATAAACAACAGTTACCTCTCTAAACCTCTGAGAGTCTTGCAGCACTGTTAACATCACACCTTTATTGGGAAGTGGTAAAAATGGCATTCTTTCACATACATAAAGGCACTAAACTGCTTTTTTTAAATGTATGTGTTGGTGTGTGTTACATTCTCATAAAGCACCTTGAGGTATTTTAATTAAGCAGATGTATGCACATCTAGTCAGTTGTTGAAAGCCGAAGCAGTTTGGCTGCCCTCCTGTCCACCTAGTTGGGAGCAACCCCACCTGACTAGGGTGGGATTGACTTCTCTGTATGCATACATAGGACTGCAGTATCAGCCAAGGTTACAGCCTTATACACACTTATCTGAAAATGTTTTCCATCAAGATCAGTATGTCCTGCTCCCTTGAAAGCAAACATACAGAGGACTAAATCCCATAAAAACTTTAGCTTGAAAGTATTAAAACAGTACGATTTGTTTCATTTTTAGTTCCATAAGCCAACTTTTTCCAAAGTTTTGCTTACAAAATTATGTGGTCTCATGACATCACAGAAAAAGTAAATCAGAGTAATAAAGTAGTTTTGGTCCTGGTTTGGCAGCATCTATAGCAAGGAAAAAATGTTTTAACACTGCAACTCTAAGCACACTTAAGGAACACTCCTATGCACATTCAGGCAGAAAAAAAAGGCCTACTACCAGGGCATGCTGGGAGTTGTAGGCATTTTTTTTTTTTTTTTACATCTAAAGTTGCGCAGCATTGCACCCTGACTAAGATCTGGGGCTGCAATTCTATTGCAGCTTACCTAGAAGTAATGCCCACTGAATTCTGTAGAGCTTTTTCTAGATAGACATGTACAGGATTACGCTGCAAATCTCATGACATTCAGTATTGTTACAGTATAGTCCTTCACTTGTCTGTTCAGAAGTCCTATTCAGTTCAGTGGGGCTATTCCAGGTACTTCTGAACAAGTGTGCATAGAACAGGGTCATTAACATCACTCCCTAGAATGCTTCTGCTCATGCAGCCTACTGACAGAAGTTTCCTCTTTGTTCTGGGATTATATTTTTGATTTTTCAGCCTATTCTAGAAGTGACAGTTCTAAATTAGTTTAGTTTTTTTTTTTCTGTTGAGATTATCCCAAACACGTACTGCCGACAGCTTGGAGACTTATTGGTGGATGTTACTTGCTTTAAGAAGAGTTACATCATCACAGGGTGTTTATTGGTCTGATCAGACTGATCAAACTGGAAACTTTACAGCTGAAACAAAACGTCATTTAAAACATGTTATACAAAAATGCCAATCATAGAGTTTGGCTAAACATAATCAAATTTAAGAGGTCAAGAAATATCAAATGTTTATCTCTGAAGCTCTTTCCCCACAGGTAAATAGTGGATACCCATATTTAAAATTCACAATATACCAATACTTAAAATTCACAATTAATTTCAAGAGTAAGAAAGACCTATGCTTAGTGCAAGCCAAGATTGTCTTTTGCATGGGTATTTTTAGCCCTTTTGTTCTAGAATCTCCATCAAGATTAATTTGCCCCATTCTCCTCAATGACATCTAAAGACTGCGAAGACTGAGCCTTTTTACAATATAAGCAGAAAAAAACCAAAGATCTCTGTAGCATAAAACATACAAAAGTTAAAAATCTTACAAATAGCTTGAGGCAGTTAACATAATATCTGTACTATGGCTGTGTGTGCACTGAAGATTTGGATCGGGAATGGCAGAGACAGGCTACCACATTTATTTTGCCCCCTCCGCACCCACCATGGTCTTCCAGTGCAATTTGTCCTATACCTTGGCCACTGCTACTGCAGCAAGCCACATTTGTGTAACTCTTCACTGTTAAATACATAAACCTTTTCTATATTGCTGTGAAAGAACCAGATGGCTTTCCTCTTTAAATATTAAATGTTTCACTAATATATACATAAATTAGCTACTCCAGTAAGAAAATATTCCATCCCTTCATAAATAGAGTTCTCAGTCTCTTGGCATCCTCCCATCCCTCTCCTTGTCCACCCAACCACATCCCAGCCAAAGGACCCATCCATGCTTCACACATGCCTCTTCATGTGCAGAGCCAAGTGATCTGATCGGGAGAAGGCACGGTCGCACAGGTGGCACTGGAAAGGCCGGATACCAGTGTGCTTGCGGTAATGGCGTGTTAGTTCATCTGACCGTGCAAATTTCCAGCCACAGCCATCCCAGTTACAGTGATAGGGTTTCTCACCTGGGGAAGAGAAAAGAAGAGCAAAGTAAACTTTTTGGCCACAGGAAGCGAGGTGCAAGTGGCATCCGTTCCACTTAGCAAGCCGCCAACCATCCCATCAATGACTGCTGGAAATTCATTGGCATCTGTCCCAGAAAATACCCTCTCCACAGACTACAGCTTTGCCCAGGTGAAGTCTGCCACCTCCCCATTTTCCTGCACTGGAAGAACTACAATTATTGCTTAACCTCCGGGTTTACAGACCCAGTATATAAAATAATGCTCCTTTAATAGGCAATGTCCCACTGAATTAAGTGGGGCTTACTTCTGACTAAACATGGGTAGGGCTGCCGGCAGAGGGGGTGGGGTTTCAGAAGCTATTTGATTTATGGCATAAAGTAATAAACCAGGCGGGCTCTTCGCCTGGCAAGCTTGTCTGCAACCCATGCCGAACATAGCCACGATTCCCTAGAAGGCAGGACCGCGCGTCAAGTTCGCAGAATTCTGAAGGCGGAAGCGTCCTTGAAGGTTATCCAGTCCAACACTCCCCCAGCCTCTCCGGGAGATTAGCCGAGCTCTTCTACACCCAGCCGCTCTGCACTCGGGAGAACTGTCCTGCCTCCCCTTCTCCACATCGGGCGCTCCCTCGCTTCCGGCCGGGGAGACGCGTTCCCCACGTCCCCAGCAGCCCAGGCGGACGCGCGTCCACCCCTTGGGGGCGCTGCCCCTTGCCAGGCGCCAGCCGGCCGTGCACCCTTACCCGTATGGGTCCGCATGTGCGCCTTGAGGTGGGAGCTCTTGGTGTACGTCTTGCCGCAGCCGGCGTATTCACAGTTATGGGTGGCCGTGCGCTTGCGCGCCCAGGAGCGGCGACCCCTCTTGGGCTTGCACTCTTCCGGAGGGCCCATCGGGGCGTAGTAATCCAAGACAGGCGAATTGGGAGGCGTGACCAGCAGCCCGTGCAGGCCTTGGGCGGGCTTCAAGGGCTCCCGGAAGACGCTGAAGTGTCCATGGAACTGGGGCGGCATCTGTCCGCCGGCGGCGGCGGCAAAGTTGGCCGGGAAGAGGGGCGCCCCGCGCGGGTAGTGCTGGGCGGCTCCCATGTGAGCGCTCAGGTCGCCGACGCCCACGGGCCCGTGGGGGCCCGGGCCCATCTGCTCGCCAGGGAAGCCGGAGGCCGCGTGCTGCGGCAGGCACTGCTGCTGTGGCTGCGGGATCATGGGCTGCATGAGCGGGGGCTTGTGGTCCAGGCAGTCGGGGCTGCTGTTCAGCATGCAGGAGTGCCCGTCTATCGGCTCCTGCTTGACGCGCAGGTGCTCCATGGGTATGCCCCGGGGAAGGCCGGCCGCGGGGTGGGCCAGCCCGGGGGCGCGCAGCTCCGTGTATTCCCGCCGCTGGAGCTCGCAGTGGCCTGGCCCCGTCGGCGGCGGCGGCTGCAGGTCCTGGGTGAAGAGCTCGGCCACGTAGCTGTGGCCTGGGCTGGGTAAGTAGGACGCGGCGAACTTGTTGGGCGGCTGGTAGCCGGAGCCGTCGCTGTCATAGGTGGTGCCACAGCTTTCGGGGGTCTCGGGCAGCGGGTAGTTGGGGTTGGCGTGGGGAGGAGGGGGAGGCGCCGCCGCCACCGCTCCGTGGGGCGCCTGCCCGTTGGTCGTGTGCGCCAGGATGAACTCCAGGTCGACGAAGTTGCCCAATTCGTCCGCTTCCCTCTTGATGGTGGTGGCGGCGGCGGCGCTTTCTGCGCCAGGAGGGAGCAGCCTCTGAGGAGAGAGCAGCAGCGGCGGGGTTAGGGCGTGGAAAGGGTTAACGCTCCTGAAACAGGGGGCGGGCAACGTCCGACACTATTTATAGCACCCCAAACCTGAAAAACGGGTTGCGCGCTCCCCGGCCCGAGCGAGCAGGCGAGGCGCGCCCAGCGCGGTTCGGATTCGAGCCGCTCGAAGGAGCTTCCCCGCCGCTCCGGTCGAGGCGCCGCCGACCAAGCGGAGTGCATCCTCATCGCTTCCTGCTCACCTCTTCCAAAACCCTCATCTCTGTTCGGAATGTGTGTAATTATGGAGGAATTCATTAAGGCGACCCCCCTCAGCCCGCCCCTCGAGCCCGGCGGCGACTGGTGGTCCTGGGGCTCTTGGCCCAGCCCGCTGGTGCGCCAAGTTGAGCTGGCTTCGGCTGCCCATTTCGGCCTTGCCGCCCGCAGCCCTTCCCCGCCCCGCAGAGGGGCTCCCCCGGAGCCTGGCGCTCGCTGCCTTGCCGCGCAGGGAGACTCCGCATCAACGCATTCTCCATACCTACACATTAGAGCCAAACCCGGGACAAATTACAGTTTACACGCAAGTACGTGTCAGGAAGTTCCAACGTCCTGTAAAGAAACAGGAGCGAGGCAAAGGGGGCACTTTTACGAGGAAGATGATCCCATAAGTCCGTGTCGCGGCGGCCGTTTTGCTGCTCTGACTCAGAGTCAGACACCCGATTTGAAGGGGATGCACTTACCTTCCGCTTGTCGGCTTCTCCACTGGCTTTTAATGCAGTCCAAAAGACTGCTGAGTGGAAATCCTTACAAGGGATGCAATTTTGCTGTGAGGGGAGGCGGGGATGCTGAACTCTGTATAGGATCGGGCTGCCAGGGAGAGGTCTGGCAATTGCCGAGACAAACTTTTCTGCCCAAGTGCTGGGGGGCACCGAATGAGCCTAATCAGGAATCCACCCGGCTTATTTTCTTCACGTACTCCTGAGCCAGGATCAGACCCACATTGATTTATTTACATAAATAGCCGAAGCTTCTGGGGCTGCTCATTTACACATCTCCCGCCCGTCGTTCAAGAAGGCATTTTAACCCTGTGAGGTTAGCCGCAAAGGAATGTACCGTTCCAGAATTGCAACTCCAGTATTTTTGAAAATCTACTTAGAAGCTGCTGCCTCCCAAATATAATAAAACCCGAGAGTGTTTTCGAGAATTTAGCTGGGAAATCGTGTTGGACCCAGTTCGTCGCCGATCTTGTAGCTATGCTATTTAAATTATCCCCTTTTTGTTTGGGGATGTTTCGCCTCCCCTTCCCCCGAATGCAAAGATGAGGAACAGGCCCAGCCAAAGCGGGCAGGGTGAGGAAACGGTGAAGCTTTCGGTAGCGAAGCAGAGGTGCTAATGCCCTCCGAAACAGGCATCTGCAACCCGAAGGCGGCGGGGGCGGCAAGAAAGGCCGGGGACAATTTTAAAGCGAAAAGCTCTGCAGCGCTTGGCGATCCTCCCTTGAACATCGCCCTTTGCCGAGGCTCCCTATCGTCGTCCTCATCCGCAATATGATCTGGAAAGAGGCGCAGGGTCTTGCTTACGCATCTCAGGTGAGGCGTCGCTTGCGCCGCCGCCTCACCGGCCTCTCGGACGTTCTCCCCAAGAGCCGCCCGTGCCCACATCCGTACCATTTCGGGCTGCCGGCTTTCCAGCGGCACCAAGCCAGCAAAGGTGGAGATGGACGGCAAGGCGGCGTCCTCCACGGCTACGCTCATCTTGCGCGGCGGCTGGAGCCGAGAGAGCTCGAAACTGCCCGGAGCCCGGCAGCTTCGCTCCGAGCACCGAAAGAGCGCTGAACTCCTTTCCAAAGCACGAAAACTTTCTGGACGCTTTCAGTTAGTAAAGCAGCTCAGAGGTAACTCCAGTGCACTCTAATTGGTCGAGGGTATCTACATATGCATGAAGAGCCGCCTCTGATTTGTTTGCGCAGGGAATCGGTCACGCCCACCAAAAAAATCTAAAAGCCGAAGCTCTTGGAGAGGAAAGTTGGAAAGGGAGAAAACCCTTCTGAGAGCAAGGCAGGATCGCCTCCTCCCAGTGAGACCTAAAAGCGGGCGCTCGAAGGGAGGAAAAGACCTAACTTTCTCTAGAACAAACCTACTGTGGGTAATGGTTAGGTAAAGAAGGGCCGTGCTGGATCTGTGGGATCAGCGTTCCGTTCACACCGTGGTCAAGCGGCTGCCATGGCGTGCCACAAACGGGAATGGGCGCAGCAGCATCCTTCGGCCCATGGTCCCCAGCAGCTGGTGAACATGCCCAGGGAAGACTCTGCTCAGGCTCCCACCTTAAAGGGTTGCTGTGAGGATAATGGGAGTAGGGAAGGACAATCGCTTGCCCAGCCTCATATGAGGTAGAGCTTTTAACCAAAGCTAGGATACAGCTAGTAGGGGGAAGCTGCAGCCCTGTCAGGAGAAAGGGAACTGGCAGAAGCCATTTCCTGTTGTGTCTTCTTAAAGCTGCACGGGGCCATGGATCAGTCAACAGCTATGGTACCAATGGGCTTAAAAAGTTCTTCGTTTTATTCCTTGTGAGCTGCATGGAGATCTTTTCTTAGTAGAGCTTATTAATGCAAAATAAGCATGGTTGGGTCCATGATTGTTTTAGCCATGGTAGACAGATGGTTACAGGGAATAGGAAGGGTGGATGAGGGGTCTAAATATCTTAAAGCATGGCAAGGTATCGTCACAGTTGTGCACTTCAGTGCCTAGACTGGGCCAGAGTTCAGTCTTTTTAAAACTCCTTCAAAGAATAAGCTTCCATAACTTCCCTCAGCCTCTAGTCACAAATTTAGAAATACTCTTTGTAAAGGGAAATTTGGAGTGTTTGAAGGATTGGAATCGTGTCAAAAGCTTAATCACAACAGAGGGTCTGGGGTGGAATGTGCAGGAAGAGATGGCATCATGCAACAGCATATAAATCAGTATATCAAACAAAACAATCAGATAACAACAGCAGCAGCAAGTAAAAACATTAAAATTGTAGCAGCAGATATAAATGTTGACAGCATCACATTCTCTCAAAAGCTAACTGGAATTTAAAAGTCTTTAGAGTCTACCTAAGGCTGACAAAGAGTGGGCCGAACATATTTTTATGGGGCAGAGTATTCCAGATCTAGGGGGCAACCACAGAAAAGTCTGCTCCTGATACCCACCAGCCTAACAGTTCCTGCTGATGGTCCAGAGAGCAGGCAAGATAGTCCCAGCATCTTAATTTTCAAATAGGCAGCCAGTATAACTGGCACAAAACAGGTGAAATATGACCAGAATGCCTTGTTCTTTTCTCACCTGTTTATAACTAAGATTTTACTGTGGCTTGGATCCTGTTGCTTTGCCATTCACACAAGGGAGGAGGCAGTTTCCTGCAATTCCTCCCTCTGTTTGCAGCCCCCTGCATTATATCTTACATTATTTCCAAGGGTCCACCAACCTTCAGGACATATTTTTGGGGGGTGCATGGAACTGCAAAAGGAAGTGGCATGGGAAAGGCTCATTCCATGTACATGAACTCTGTGCTTTTCATAGAAGGAAAGTCAGGATCCACGCCAGTTTTATTTTTAATGATTTATGATTTTCTCCCTTAAGTGTAAAAAGGCAGGATGTCACATTTTAAAAATAAAATCTGTTTCCCTTTCATTGAAAGCCATTGCTTTATGTGTTATTCTCGGTTGACAAAATGTCTCTCTCTTATAAGATATTTTTAAATATTTGAAAATTGTCTAGTGCATCCTCCTTCCTTTTCCTAGGCTGGCAATACCCTGTTTCTCTACCTTTTACATCTAAGATTTCTCCTAGGCTCCATTAGCATCTCTGTCACCATTCTCTGCTACTGAAACCCTCCATAATAACCAGCAACATTTTGAACTGCAGGTGCTAGGAAATGAGTGCAGCATTCCTTTTGCAACTGCATCTAGAACAGTACCAGCACTGTATGACAAAAGCCGTGACAAAGAGTGCTATTCAGTGTTCTCCTAAAGCCATGTTTTGATTTAGAACACCCCTGAACCCTTTTCAGCACTGCTACAGCTTACCCTGTTGTACTCATATCTTGCACTTGAACATTTTCCCAATTTTTCTACACAACACTTAACTTTCTATCAGCACCAGCCAACACGGCCAATAGTCAGGAATCCTAGGAATATTAGCCCAAAACATCTGGAGGGCATCTGGTTGGGGAAGGAAGGTCTATGTTATTATATATTTTTTTTCTTGCCATTTTCTCATTTCGATAGTTTAAATTGATTTTTTTTGAAGGGGGGGAACTTGAGATAAAAATGAGGCTTACATTTTTCTCACACTTTAGGATAGAACCAAAATTTAGGGCAGGAGAAACTTTTCCTCTTGGAAAGAATGGGAGATTCTTTTCCTGTAAAAAAAACAAGACATTTTCAAGCACTTAAACACTAACAAATTGATCGCAAAGACTATTGTACTGCACTCCACTGAGAATATCCTGCTTTCAAAATGAATTGTGTGTGAGACAAATGGGCCAGTCTCTACAGAAAAGAATAAATGGACACAAGTTTGGTAAAAGAAAATTATCAAAAACCAGTGGAAAACATTTCATCTTCCCAGGACATACTGACCCAGTTTACATGTTATGAATAACTCATAATTTCTCAGGTTTCCTCTGCATACAAGTTATTAAGTGAACTCTGGGTTATTTAACCCATGAGTAATCCATAGTGTCCTGCAACAACAACTGATTGGCCACCTTATACAAAGCAGAGCAGCAGCTCATACAGAACAACCAACATGACAAATTTTGGGTTCATTTATTGGTGCTATCAAAGAGACACTAACCTTATGTGGCCATACTTGAACAAAAGATTTTCAAAGGTAGATTTCAACACAAACATCTGTGCTCCAATTCATGAAGATATTCAGCTCTAGATTGTTTTTGGCTTTATCACACTATGGGCCTGTTTGTTACAAGGGGCCAGTGTGGGGATAGTTTACCCACAGGGGTTGCCAATGTCACACCAGATAACCATGGATGTCATTTTTGCATGGTACCACAAGTCACCCAGTTTGTCATGGCTTGTCATGGCTTGTGACACCAGGTGGCTGAGGTTGTTTCAAGACAGAGCAACCCTCAACTCTCCCTAAGACAAGCCGTGAGTTAATTGAGGGTTGCCTGAACCTCAACCCAGTCACCTGGGTTCACATGACATGACAACCTGGCCATCTGTGAATGCCATACAAAAATGGTGACAGCCTGGGTGTGCAAATTAACTCATACAGGCTGTCATGTCATGTGAACCAGGTTTATATGTTTTAATCCAGGGGTTGGCAACCCATGGCTCCAGAGCCGCATGTGGCTCTTGAACCCCTCTGCTGCGGCTCTGTGGCTCCGTCGCTCAAAACACGCACAAGCACAGCTGCTGATCTGCTGGAAGCTTCACTCAGGAGGAGTAAATCAGCTAGTTAAGTAAATCACTACATTCCTCTGCTAAACAAGCTTCCTGCAGGCTCTCATGTTACACAAACCCCTCTGCTGAAAAGATTATCTTTGTCCTGATGTAATCTCCTTCATCTGAATGTTAAAAGCTGTGCGTGGGACCTTTCACAATTCACATCACTTGACTGTTTATCTGCTAATCAGTCACTAAACACATCTATATCTGCCTGATTTACTGAGCTTCCCCCCCCCCCCACCCCAACCATGGATAAATCTGAAGAAAAAAAAAGTTTCTCAAGAAAACCGAATGTTTAATGGTTTAATGTTACGTGGGTAGATTCATTTGCTTTTACTGCTGATGAACTTATTGCTGTTTAATGCATGCAGTCCTTTAGCACTGACGTTGACTCTGCAGGAAGCTGTTCTCCTATTCAAAATATATGAAAGCAATCCTACTAGTTTATAATGTAAGATTAAAAATAACAGTTTTTAGTGACTGAACAAGAGCTGCAGCTAAATCATAACGAAGATTTAGATCTACTTCTTTGTTTTAGGAAGATTCTTATAAAAATTCCAGCAACATTATTACATTGGGAGAGGAATGTTTGTTCAATACTTCACCATGTGATAAAAGGATGAGGGCACACAGAAGCAGATGGCATTTTTGGTTTGCTGCTAGTGGATAATATAAGTTCGGCTTTTTATCTCATAAATACGAGGAGGACTCAGATAGACATTGAGTATTTTATTTGAAAGTAACTTTCAACCCAGCGTCTTTTTTTCAGAGTTTCAAAATGTTTTTGTTGCATGCAGAAATAAAAATTTTTCTTTGAAGCAGTTCATTGATTTCATAAATGCAACACCCTATAGTTTTTATACATAACATAAAGGTAAAAAATGATATATGCAGTGTTATCTTCATTTTAGATGTCAAAAGGGTTTTGCAGCTCCCAGTGTTTTCTTTTCTGTGGGAAATGGGTCCAAATGGCTCTTTGAGTGTTAAAGGTTGCCAACCCCTGTTCTAATCTACTCACCAATGCCAGACTGTGTCATAAACTGTTTTGTAAAAGGGAATAAATACTATTGACTGAATTTTCTGCATTTCAGGTCCCTGTGAGATGTGGATGAAGCTCAGTGCAACTGTTTATGTATCTGATGATGCAGAGTGAAGTCTACAAAACCTTTTCTGTAACAGACTAACCCAGTTACCTCTCTACAAATTTTCCTTAGAAGGACCATTGCTTCATAGTAAAGTGAGTTAAGGCCCATAGTCAATGGTTGTCAGAACCTTAGGCAAAAGTGAACAGCATTTGATGCACTGCAGGATTTTCTGATACTGCGAGTGTGCTCACGCACCACTGAAATCCCCCTTTTTCACTTTCCCCACATAGAATAAGCAATCCATAAGCCACTGGTGTTGCACTCCAGGCA